CCCCCCTTCACCTGGTGTCCACTCTGCCTCCCCCCTTCACCTGGTGTCCACTCTGCCTCCCCCCCTTTGCCTGGTGTCCACTCTGTCTCCCCTCCTTCACCTGGTGCCCACTCTCTCTTCCTCACCTTCACCTCGTGTCCACTCTGTCTCCCCCCCTTCGCCTGGTGCCCGCTCTGTCTTACCCCCCTTCACCTGGTGCCCGCTCTCTCTTCCTCACCTGGGAAGCCGTGCTCTGCAGTTTCATGAGGCCATTCTCCAGTCGCTCGATCTTGGCCACCAGCTCCATCCTCTTCTTGGACAGCAGGCTCTGGTAGAGTTTGATCTGCTCCAGGAAGGTTTTGGGGGTGGTGTAGTTGTAACGTCGCTCAGTAGCGAGATAGACCTTGGACATGTCGTTGACGGTTGTGTGTACATAGGCCATGAAGAGGCTGATGGAGTTCTTGACCTCTGTCTACAAGGACAGACAGACCAGCTCCCCTCACGGAGAGGCCTCGCCCATCCCTGTGGGGTGGACCCTGGTCTCCCTCCCAGAGGGGCCCAGGAGACGGGGAGTCAAGGAGGCAGGGGTCTGCACACGCCTGGGCCCCACAGGTGAAGGGCCTGTCTGAACTGTGGGTTCCTGGTCTACAAAAGGGGGTTCAAGACGACAGAACACCACGGGCTATCGGGTTGCTGTGTGGGATTCCATCACTCAGGGTGCACTGTGCTTGTCAGAATTGCTGCATGTACACTCACACACCCACGCCTACACACACACACACCTGCACGTCATCACACACACATGCACGCACATGTCACACACACACCTGCACGTCATCACACACACACACACGGGCAAGTCACACACACACATGCCTGCACGTACACACACACACACCTGCACGTCATCACACACACATGCCTGCACGTACACACACGTGTCTACACACATGCTCTCATACACTCCTGCACGTCGTCACACACACACTCACACACATACCGATATCTGCACGTCATCACACACACACACACTTTCACACACTTACACACTCACACCCACGCCTACATGTCGTCTCTCTCTCTCTCACACACACACACACACACACACACTCTCGCATGCACGTTGTCACACACACCCCATGTGTGCATGTCATCACACGCACGCACGTCACACACATGCACGTCATCACACACACTTTCACACACACGTGTGCACGTTGTCACACACATGCCTGCACACACACACTTTCACACACACACACACTCATGCACAGTCACACCTCTACTCTCAAGTCCCCCTTAGAGGTTGTCCCTTACACACTCACCAGCTCACACTCCTGCAGTCACACTCGTGTTCACCGACACACAGTCACCCTCTCACACACATGATTATACAAAGTCACACTCACACTCTCACAACCACACTCAGACAGTCACACATTCAAAACCTTTTCCCTTCTCATACAGATCACGCTCACACTAACACACACAAGGACACCCACACGGTCGCACACTTCACGCACAGTCACACCCCACACACACACACACACACACTGAGCAAAGCTCAGTCAGCGTGTGTGCACACCCTCGGGTCCTGCCTGGCAGGACCACACCTGCTTCGGCCGGGAACCCTGAGCTGATGGGAAACTCATACAGGGTTGGGAAGGGAGCAAACAACTTTGATCTTGATTGATTTCTTGGCTTTAGTTTCACTTTTTAAAATATCCCCGCATGGTACAAACAGCAACTGTTCCTTGTTGCTAACCACAGGTCCACCCATAGGTGCCTCAGAAGAAAGGCCTGGCAATCTCCCTTTGATAAATCAGCCCCTGAAAATACTATGGAGCCCAGGTTCTGCTCTGACCCACAGGGGTCACAGTAAGAGGCAGAGTGACTGCATGGTAAAAGCTGGCTGCACCCCGGGGGAGAGCCTCGCCCCCCCCCAAGTCCCAGCCCCCCCGTCCCGTCCCGTCCCCCACCTCACCATCCAGCACCAGCCTGCCTGCATGGCTCTGAGAGAGTCAGGACAGACGGGCAGCAGGTGCAGCCGCCAGGACTCACCGGGATGCCCTCGGTCTCCTCCAGGAAGCGGGCGCTGACAGACACCAGCGCATCCTCTGGCCACTCGTGGAACCAGTCGATGGCCGTGCAGTTGACCACCGCGGGGAACTTCCTGGCTCGCACTCGCAGGACGGAGCCCACAGGGGAGAAGCAGAGAATTACCTGGAGGCAGGACACCAGCGTGAGGCCACTGCGGCCACTCCGAGAGCAAGCAGCGAAGAGGAAGGGCCATTCCAGAGGGGACAGGGACATACATGGAGGCGAGAAAGGGTGGAGAATGGACACCCGCTTTGGGCCAAGGCTTGTGTGGGGCTCAATGGTAAATGCAGTTGGCAGTTCAAGTCCGCCCAGCGGCACCTTGGGAGTGAGGCCTGCTGACCTGTCTGTAAACCCAACTGTGGGAACCTGGCTGCAAGCAGCCATCTAAGCTGCAGCCCTTGGTCCTTCTCAACAGACACAGGAGTGAAGAAAAACTCAGGCCAACTGGGGACAATTCGTCCCAAGGAGAATGGGCCATGACCCAGCCCCCCACGGCCATGAGGCCAGAACTAGACGGTGCCTGGCTTCACTGCAGCCAACTCCGGGTCACAGGAGGACGCCCTGGGTGGGGAGGCAGGGAAACGGGAAACAAAATGCATATCACAAAGAAAAACAGCAGGCTTTCTGCTCTGACAGAGCGTTGGTGGGACCCCAAGACGGTGGTCCAAAGTCACCCTCAAGCTTGGGGTTGATTCATCCCCACAGCTTGACTTTGAGCTAAATATAGACAGGGCTGTAAAGTGACCACCCTGTAGGGACTCGCTCTCCAGACCAGCCAAGCCCAATGGGCTGCATTTCCCAGGGAAGATGTGTGGAAGGCAGGAAGGGAGAGGCAAGGACAGATGGATGGTAACAGGCACCACAGTGAGGAGGTGGGGAGAGTGCTGTGACCATGGGCATCTCATCAAAGTGTGCTGGACGGCTGCACCGGGAGCACCTGCTCTGTCAGCTTTCAGTCGAGTCACAGTAAGAGGTTAAGAAAGAAGAGGGAAGGTGGCCCTGGCAGCATGCGTCCACCCTGACGCCCCGGGTCATCCTGAGCCAGGAGCCTGGGGCACGGGGTCCTAGGAGGTCAGGGTTTGCCAGGCAGTCACAGCAGTCACTCCCAGCTGACTCCTGCTTCCCATGGAGCACCAGCACCCAGGACCACACGGCGACGAGCAGAGAGGTGGCCGCTGGCCACGGGGTGCAGGCGCGCCCCACCTTGAGCTGCTTGCGCACTTTGTCGATGAAGAACTTCCAGCAGATCTCCCGGGTGTCGGGCAGGCCAAGGGACTTGACCTGCGGCCGCATGGAGGAGAGGATGTTCTCCACCTCGTCGTCCATGAACAGGCCGGGCACCTCGCCGGACGCCAGCAGGTCGTTGATGAGCACCAGGAACTGCTCCTCCGCCACCTGGGAGTCCGTCATGAGGAACACGGACGGCACGTTCTTCACCGCCACCTTGATGTACTGCGCGGCCAGGTCCATCTGCAGCGGACGGGGCACACTCAGCCCGGGCAGCGCTGTGCCCCCCAAACGCGGGCTGACCCCAGCCTCCCCGTGGGAGAACGATGGGACGGAGCCAGGGAGGCCTGTGTGTGCTGCGTAAAAGGGGGCAGTAGCTTCCAGTTCTCTGGTGGCGCAGTATCTAGTGTGTTGGGCTGCTAACCAAAACATTGGCGGTTTGAATACACCAGCCGCTCCTCAGGGGAAAGATGGCGGTCTCCTTCCAAACAAATTTACAGCCTCAGAAACCAGAGGTCACTGTGGGTTAAGATTGACTCAAACGCAGTAGGTTTGGGGTTTCTGGGTTATGAGCAGCTTAAGAAGCCCTGTTGGTGCAGTGGTTAAAACATTTAGCTGCCACTCAAGAGGTCGGGGGTTCAAATACCCCAGCCTCTTCTCAAGAGAGAGTTAGGCAGTCTCCTCCCACGTGATATATGAACTTTGAGACCCGCTAGAGGGTGAGATGAGTCAGTTTTCTCTCGACAGTTTATGACAACAATTCCTTTTTTGCGGCCGCTAATCTTTATGGGAAGAGGTTATTCATCTCTCCTCTACAGAGTGACAGGTGGATTTGATCTGCTGACCTTTTAGTAACACATCACATCGCCCTTGGGTTAGCAGCTGAGCTCCAACTGTTTATGCCACTTGAGAGCCCTCTTAACACTCATTTTTGCTTCCCTCCCCCACTCCCCCCAACTACAGCTGTCCAGTGCATTCCTTGGCACTGAGTCCTCTGGCAAAGAAACTGGGGCTCTCGGATAACAGCTGCTCGTCTGCAGCCTGGCCGCCTCTGGCTCGGCCTGTGTGTCTGGGCTGGATGAGGGGGACTTCAGAGGAGCCTTTGCCCCCTCCCTCCCAACAGCCAGGGCGCCAAGCCAAAGCCAGCTGCCCAGTGACTGTCCAGGCCGCCTGCTTCATCCAGGTGCCCTCTGACCACCCTGCACATCAACGCAGATGGAGATGTGCAGACCACGTGGCCAAATCCATTTCATTTCTAATCTGAAGCACTGTGGGGCTTTGTTCTGGGCTAATAGTGTTTGACTAGTGCTTGGGGCCCCAGGAGAGCGCATTTTCGGGAAAAAGAAATCACAAGAAAGCCTTGGCCTCACATCTTGGGGATGGGAGACCTGCTCACGTCAGCAAGCACTTCACTAATCCAGCAAGCTGCGTGCAGATCCTGAATGTGGGGCGGTGTGCGCAGCTTTTACTGGGGACAGTTGGGACAAGAATGGAATCCCTTGGGCCTCTGTGATCTGTGCTGCCTCAGGTCGTGACCTCTCAGCCCCTGGGCTGGCCTCTGCACTTCCTGGTCTTTGCTTCCTGACCCCTCTACATGACGGGTGTTGGCTGGAGAAGGGGTCAGCGCCACTTTCTGTGCCCCACCCCTCACCTTGAGGTCTGGGATCCCATAGCCCTTCTTCAGGGTCATCTGGAAGACGTCCAGGGAGCTGATGTACGCAGCCAGGCGGGACAGGCTCTGTTTGCCACTGCCGCCCACCCCCACCAGCAGGGCATTCCCTCTGGGGGACTCCAGGATCCGGTTGATCCTGCAAATATGGGCCACTGCGTCTTCAAACAGCACCTGCAGAAAGCACAGGGAGACCCTGATGACTTAGCCCATGTCCACACCACAGACCCTCGTTGACCTTGGGTGTCTGGAGCTCATCCCCCACACAGCAACCACCTGTCCCCACGGGCAGGAGCCCGGCCCGGCCCCCTCTACCCACCAGGTTCATGACGGCGTTGACCTCGTTGTAACTGTCCAGCACCTCCACCAGGAGCTTGTTCAGATGAGCCATGTCAAACACTGGCAGGTACTTGGGGTCGCCGACACCTTGCGTGAAGTGGCAGAAGATATTGGGCTTGGCATATAAAAGCTCTTCACCGAGGTCCTGGAGGTGGGACACACAGACACTTCTCTTGCTTTGTGGCCAGTGTGAGCACACAGTTACTTATCAGCAGTGTCTGTCTCTGGCCAAGATGACCTCAGAGACGTCAGGACACCAGGTGGCACCTCCAGGGGCCGAACATTAATTCTGTAGGTCCTGCAAAGTGGTGGACACATGACCCTGGTGGGATAGTCTGTTCCCACCACGCCACATGGATGACCAATCCAAAGAGTTTCCACCACAAGGCCAATGCCACCAGCACTCACTGAAGCAGGTGGGGGTCCTTCTCCACTCCAGATGGGTTCCTGGAGACCACGGTGCCCTGATCTGAAGTGATCAGCACCTTTGCCCTCAGATCCACATGCACCTGGCAAGTTTGTTAAATGAGACCTAACTTGATTGCCTGGGATCTGATGGCTTAGTGGTAAAGCAATCTCCTCCGATGTCATTTTTGTTCTGACTCAATGGTACCAACAGCAGTGTGATTGCCAGGATGCTCCTTGGAAGCAAGGGAAATGAGACTTCTTCTCATGTATTTTGGTGATGTTACTAGAAGGGCTAGTTCCAGGAAAAGGCCATTCTGCTTAGTGAAATAAGAGGGTCAGTGGGGAAGAGGAAGACTCTCAATGAGATGGACAGACATAGTGGGCTTGCACACTGATGACAGAGAGCAGGGGGCAGAGCAGGGTTTCCTCTGACACCCTGACACGGGTCACTGAGACACATCAACTCCATGGCACCCAGCAACAACAAATGTGGACCGTGGAATTGCTTGGTGACACAAATCATCAAATACGAAGCTGTTAACCTAAAGGTTGGCAGTTCAAATGCACCCACAAATGCTTCAGAAGAACATTCTGGCAATCTGCTTCTGAAAGGTCACGTGGGGAGCTGAAGGGAGAGGTTTTAGTCAGACACCGTGGGGTGTCATGGGGTGGACGGAATTGATGGCAACTGGTTTAGGTTCACTGTGGATCATTCCACTTCTCCCAAAGGGCTCTTGTAAGAGACAGACCAAAGGTCTCTCCTATCTGTAAATGTGCCATCTGCTTGATGATGGCTCACCACCAGACCCCACGTCGCCATCATCATCCTCAGCAGACGGCTGACTCACGTCAAAGAATTTCTTAGTAGAAGCAACGGTGACTCTGCCCAGTGTCTCTTGGTCTCTCTCATCGACCATTTTGTCACCATATACTCTTTGAGCTTCGTGCAACCATAGGCGGACAAGGTCCAGAGGAGTCTTCAGGATTTCCACCAAGGAGAACAGGAGTCCCTGCCCCAAAGACAGAGTGGTTAGTGCTGGTAGCTGTACTATGAAGCCACGGCAAGTGCCGTGTTGAGGTGGGATCTCAAGTGAGCGGTCATTTCTCCAGGCAGCTATCCCTGAGGCTATGATACATTTTGGGTCGGTGACAACACTGATTGCCAAGGTCATGGACACACTGGTGACCAGAAAATGTGTCTGTGGCCTGGGGGACAGGGTTGAGGGGTTTATCCTCAAATAGGGTAGATGGTGGAGAAGTGACAAGGGTGGCTCTAGAAACGACACAGTGAAGGTCTTCCCCTAGGGCCAGCACCCCGAATTCAGACCTGGAGCCTCTAAACGGCGAGAAATAAAATTTGTTATCCACTGTGGTAAGTTTGTTATATCAGAACCAGATAGTGAAGACAATCAACATCATCATCATTATCTCTACCATTAACATCATCACCATCACCATCACCACCACTGCCATCATCACCATCACCACCACCATCATCACTGTCATCATCACATCAGCACTGTCACCACCACCACCACCATCACCACCACTACCATCATCACCATTACCATTGTCATCATCACATCACCATCACCATTGTCATCATCACATCACCATCACCACGACCACCATCATCATCACCATCACCACAACTACCATCATCATCACCATCACCACCACTACCATCATCTCCATCATCATCACAACTACCATCATCATCACCACTGTCATCATCACATCACCATTAACATCATCACCATCACCATCACCACCACTGTCATTGTCATCATCACCATCACCATCACCATCACCATCACCATTGTCATCATATCATCACCATCACCACCACCATCATCACCGTCATCATCACATCAGCACTGTCACCACCACCACCACCATCACCACCACTACCATCATCACCATCACCATTGTCATCATCACATCACCATCACCACGACCACCATCATCATCATCATCATCACCACAACTACCATCATCATCACCACTGTCATCATCACATCACCATCACCATCATCACCATCACCACCACGACCATCATCTCCATCACCATTGTCATCATCACATCACCATCAACATCATCACATCACCACCACTACCATCATCACCATCACCATTGTCATCATCACATCACCATC